TACTACCATTGAATAATATTATTCAATGCTACTACACACGGACAATATTACCTTATATTCTCACTCACTGGATATATTTGCACAACTTTACCAACTATCGTAGTGTAACTAATCTTCCAAAAGACGCCGACCAAAAATTTGGTTTCGCATTCAATAATTCCGAGAATAATTCTAATTGCGCGACTTTGAGGAAGAAACTATTAACCAAAAGTTACTACTGCGATTGTTTTATTTGTACAACTCATTTTTTTGGACGACATATTTAATAGAAAAAAAGTATATGGATGGATAACAATTTTGACACTTTTTGGCCGACTTCTATCTGTCTACAAACCGAGGTACAACATCTATCGACGAACGGAGAAGTGAGAAACATAGGTGGTTCGGGAAGTCGAAATCGTTCTCTTATTAGGCACTCGTCTATTCTTCAGATAATACTAATTTTTGACAGATTGATACCAGTTCAGGGTTTCTAGAAGATTATCACGTAGTTCCCAAAATGGGCGTATTCTAAGGCATCACAGGATGATTATCTGCATTTGCGTAATGGTCAAAGGGGCAAATAAAACCCACTCGATAAGAAATAAAGTTTAGCGTATTAATTGTAATTGTAACCCATCTTAGATTTCCAGTAGGCGAACAAATTATTTGCAACAATCAAGAAATCCGGAGAAGTTCTCTCGTTATCACTTCTAATTTTTCGCATCAAAAAATGAATAATAATATTCAGCGTGATAGGTAACTCATTGGCATTGCGCAACAAATATTCATAAATTCCCCCGGAAGATACTTAGTGAAAATAAATCATATCTACAAAATTCAGTTAATTCGTTTCACGTAATACCATCTTTTAAAAGAAGTTATCTCACTAACTGTCACTGGAATGAAGTTACTGTTGCGTAAAAAGAGAGGTTATCATTATCAGAAAGACCAATTCTAGTTTCTGACTGTTGGGTCAAACTCTTGATAGAATTACTCGTAATGAAATGCAGGGTTATAGAATTAATAATTTTGTCATAGATTACATTTACATTAGATAATCTTCTCATTTGTTTATCATCTGCGGTACCTTATATTGAATGTGTATTTTTTTAACGTCAAGGACTCTCCGGATAGGTAAAGTACCTGTAACCCGAGGGCATGAATCATAGTCAATAATGAAGTTTTCCAATTTTTTTCCTTGGAGCTCGTATTTTTAACTGCTTACTGCAGATTTGGGGACTTGGGTTCGCTACTTTTTTAAATCGTTTTTCATTGATACGAAACTGGGCGTTGGTTTTATTGCACACTGGAAACTACACTGGTGATTTTAGGCCACTTCCGAAGGCGCGGTTTCCCCAAAGGAAAATTTGCTTTGAGCTATTCTACAACAACATTTAAAAAAAAAGTAAGCAATGATGTTCATGTGTTTTCTTAGGATGATTATTAAAAACCCTGTTAAAGCCGAAGTATTGTGGAAAACCACCACAAAGGTCGCAATCTTTTTTCTTCAAAATTACTCTTCATTGTATTTCATTCTGTGAAGCTAAATATTTCGAAAACTTGTAATGCGTTTTTCGAACATCTAAAAACCATCTCAGTTTCTCTTTCGTTCAAATTTAATTAACTAATCATAACTACCACAACATGACTCTTCCAAATTTTAATTCTCTAAGTCAGAAAGAGAAGTGCTGCATTACCGTATTTTCCAAAAAAATATAGAATACAGAAATATTCATAAGCGAAAATAGTTATTTATATAACAAGAGCGCGAAGTTCAATTTCGCGCATTGAGACTGAAGGTATTTTGACGAGGCGAAGCCGAGTCAAAATATCAGTCAAATGCGCGAAATAACTTCGCGCTAGCGTTATATACAATATTTTTTTTCTATTTCGGTGTTACAATGAGAATTTTGTGCAACCGTTTTCGGCAAAAACAGTGTTTCAATGAGTTCCATTGTAACATTGTTTTTGGTAACTTTTCATCTCTAAGTTGGCAGTTCGCCAAGACGTCAACGTCAAATCATCCGATGTAAAATCAAATTACGTAAAATTTATGTGTTTTCCTTGATTTTTGGTACACGAAGAACTTAATACGTTCCAAATCAGCAGTTTACACATCCACCATAAATAAATTTATCTACGAATAAAAAATTACACATTCACGGAATTTAAAGTTTCCAAATGTCAGTGTTGTGTTTATCTAAGCTCCCAACTTAAAATTTGTCAACGTAAATGGTGTTGCCAACTTAAGACATATTAATTCTAAAGTTTCCTGTAGTTTTTCATAATTACTTTTTAATTAAATTAAAGCCCCGAAATAGAAAAAATAGTATGAAAAACACGTGTTACAATGCTTTATTGTAAACTCCTATCTTGTGGACACTCGTGGCTCCGCTTCGCTACGCCACTCGTGCCACAAGATAGTCGTATTACAATAGGTCGCATTGTAACACTTGTATTTCAATATACTATTCTACAACTGAACCGATTGTTAATTAAAATTGCTGTTTAAGTTCAACTTTGTCACGTGCGCGAAATACTTTTTTTCACTGTTGACGATTTCGGGCACGTTGTCAATAGCAACCTTACTTACTAATTAACCGTTTAAAAATCTAGTACTTCGCGTTTCGAAATCCGCCAGAAAATGACAGGTTTTTTTGACAGTTGTAGAAAAACGAATTTTTCTACAACTGTCAAAAAAACCTGTCATTTTCTGACGAATTTCGAAGCGCGAAGTACTAGATTTTTAAACGGTTAATTAATAAGTAAGGTTGCCCTTGACAACGTGCGCGAAATCGTCAACAGTGAAAAAAAGAATTTCGCGCACGTGACAAAGTTGAACTTAAACAGCAAATTTAATTAACAATCGGTTCAGTTGTAGAAAAAATATTGTATATAACGCTAGCGCGAAGTTATTTCGCACATTTGACTGATATTTTAACTCGGCTTCGCCTCGTCAAAATACCTTCAGTCTCAATGCGCGAAATTGAACTTCGCGCTCTTGTTATATAAATAACTATTTTTTACCACGTCCACAATCTCTAAAGAATATTTGTTTGAAAAAAGAAAAAAGCTGTAAAACTGTCGTTTGTCGCACTCACGTGTGTTACTTAGGGAAGGTCTGGTTTATGGCAAATAACTAAACAAACAATGTTCAAAAATATATGAAATGATATATAGGTAACTAATTGGATGGAATTATCTTACATAGACAGGTATCTAATGGTATTTTAAGTATCAAGAAGTACGTACACTTTTAACCCTTATAATACCAAGCGGGGTGCAAATGCACCCCAACGTCTGTATTTTGGTCATAATTTTGACAACAAATTTTTGTGACTTCTGGGGTCGTTGGTAATTGTAGTTTTTAGTCTTCTGAGCACCTCCTATACATTATTTGATTTTATATAATTTTGCTAAACAAAAATAATTGAGACAATACACTCTGGGGTGCGTTTGCACCCCGCTTGGTATCGGACGCTTGTTGAATTTCCGTCATATAAATCATGCGTATTATGAATTGGTTCTTTCAAGACGCATGCGTCGGCTGCTTGGCAATATGGCAACATTTGTATTAGCCAGTGATGTGTTAGACAGCATACAGGTAGTGTTGTCCGTTGATTGAATTTTTCTGTTTGGTGTGAATTCGTGATAACGATGAGCCGGTTACGTTTTCGTGATGAAAATAACCTCACAGAAGCGGAAATGCTGATGTTACTTGAAGAGGATGATACGGAATACGACGCGCTGATTGAAGAAGATGCCGCAAGTGATATTGAAGATAACGACCATGTATCTGACCAAGAAGAAGTTGATGACCTAATTTGTGCAAATGATGAAGAAACAGAACCGCTGCAGGTTGACCAATCGGACTCGTGTGGGGATAGTGATCCGTTTTATATTGCCAAAGATGGTACACATTGGTCTAAGTTACCCGTAAATAAAATTTCTAGACGTTCGCGAGCAAATATCCTTACCGTTGCCCCAGGGTCAAATTCCAAAACATCCAGCATCAAAGACGCATTTTTTTTATTTTTTACTCCAGATATACTGGAAATCCTTGTGCGGGAAACCAACCGTAAAGCTCGACAATATTTTGATGAGTGGAATGCTGCAAATCCCACCCGTACCAAGAAATATGCAGCAACCAATGACACTGAAATTGAAGCATACATAGGCTTATTGATCACCATGGGAGCATTGCAAGCAAGTAGGGAACCCATTGAAATGCTTTTCACTAGTGATCTCGCGTATTGTCGGCCCATTTTTCCTGCAACACTTTCCAGAAATCGATATAATTTCCTAACAAAATTCTTGCGCTTCGATAATTTTGAGACGAGGCAAGAGAGAAGACTTATCGATAAATTGGCACCTGTAAGAGATATTTTTGAAAAACTGGTGTCAAACTGTAAACGTGCGCTCAACCCAAGTCATCATTTATGTGTTGATGAACAACTAGTGCCATTTCGAGGGAAAGCACCATTTCGAGTCTATATGAAAAATAAACCGGCCAAGTACGGAATTAAGATTTGGGCTCTTGCGGATTGTGGTTCGAACTATACTGTGAACATGCAGGTGTATTTAGGTAAGATTTTTAGTATTCTGTGTCATGTAGCCAACTTTTGTCTGGGTTTTAGGAAAAATAAACAATAAACCAGAAAAAAACCAAGGCCAACGGGTGGTCCTTGATCTTGTTGAACATTTAGGTACAGGATACGGTATAACAACCGACAATTTTTTTACAAGCCTTAAGCTGGCTGATAAACTCTGGGAAAAAAAATTAACGCTCTGTGGAACACTTCGTAAAAATAAAACATTTATACCCAGAGAATTATTGCCCTCTCCAATGAAGCCAGTATTGTCTTCTATGTTCGCTTTCAAAAAGAACCGCACTTTGGTTTCATACGTGCCACAAAAAAGGCGCGCAGTTCTATTACTTTCCAGCGAACATGAGGATGACAAAGTCAATGGTGAAGATGTGGACAACAAACCAGACATAATCTTACATTATAACAGTACTAAAGGTGCGGTAGATGCAACGGATCAAATGGCCCAAAAGTACACCACGCAAAGAAAGACCGCTAGGTGGCCTATGGCAATATTCTATCATATGATTGATATTGCAGCGATAAATGCCTTCAAAATATGGGTGATGGCTAATCCTGAATATGAAAAGGGCCATTTAGATGCAAGAAGAAGGTTTCTGCTACAATTAGGCAAAGATTTATCTAAGGATCACATAATGTTTCGTTATAAAAATAATAATGGTTTGAAGGCGAATATAAAAGAATGCATGCTGAAGGTTTTCCCTGAAATGAAAGAAGAAAGAACACCACAAGAACAACCAGAGGCAACTCAAGGTCGATGTTATCTTTGTACAAGACAGTTTTGTATAGATTGTTGCCAGTTTGTATGTCTAGAACATTCCCAAAAACAAGTGTTATGTCTAACATGTAAAAATAAAAAATAGTTACCCATTTTTTAAATTTATGAAGCCTGAGTTAAATAAAGGTTAAATATCACTGATTACATATTTTTCCATTCAACCAGAACCTAATAGAGTAAAATTGTGTAGAAATACTGTAATTATATGTAAAAAATTAATGGGGTGCAAATGCACCCCGCTTGGTAACGCACGTAAGAATAAGAGCTTGGTATTATAAGGGTTTTAATAAGGTAATGAATTCAATGGATTTACATTACTGCAATTCTAAGTGATTAAGACTAGATAGCGATAGGCATATTTTTACATTGATTTTTTCCAAGATTTGGCGCCGAATTGGCAGGCAGCGAGATGGCCTGGCGCCAAAATGACCGGCGCCGAGATGTCCTGGCGCCAAAATGGCCAGCGCCAAATCGGCGGCGCCCAATCAGCGGCGCCGAGTTGTACCAGACCGTGTTGCTTATCTTATGTTTGATAAAAAATGTTTCTCAAACATTCTAACAGAAAACCTGGCATCATCATTGCACGACTATATCAATAACAGTTGCTAATGATCAGAGCTTTGCTGTCGAAAGAATGGCAAAAACTTCAAAGGCTGATAGTTAGAAAAATTCCACCGGGACCGAATGCTTTTGGAGCCCAACTACTCGCGGTAATATAATAATGACATATATTTAATTTCAAATACAAACTTATAGCGATACCGTGCGGTCACAACTATTGCATTTTTTTGTTTTACAGAATTTTCCAAGATTATAAATAGATCGATCTATGAAGATGAAGAGGAGCTTAATAGTTCTCAAGGTTCTGAGAGTTCTAGATTGTATAAGTTCCATATGTACCGAGATATGTACTATAGCCATTTTTCTGATGGCATATCTTCAGCAGGAATGGACATTTTCTGGTTTTCTTTAAATCATGATAATTATTGTGCAAATGACAATGGTTGTGGAGATCCCCATGATAGACATCCTTATCTTGGATGCAATTTATATTGGCTTTCTCAAATTCTCATTGGTAAAAGTTTTATCTATTTTATTTTTATTGTTATTTTGTTTCTTTGGTTGTCCAGATGTTACGAAGTGGGCGAAACGTTGACTTTTCGTTCAACATTGGCACGGTGCTATCGCGGAAGTCTCTTGCATCTAACTCTGAGAGTTTAGAATATGCCAAGACGATTCTAAGGGGGTTATAAAAATGGTTCTGTAGAAAATTCTACTGCGAAAAATAATCGATATATCGATAAACATCGATAATTTTTCGTAACCCTAATCGGGATGTACATAAAAATAGTGAAAAAATTCTTCCTGTTTGGATCTTACAAGAATTTGCCCCTTTTGCCAGGTGGCCATTTTCATAATAAGAAAAAATTATGAACAATATGGGTATACCCGAGGGTATATGGATAATCGATAATATCAATAACCTCGTCAATAACCGATAATATCCATAATCGATGGTGTTTTTCTATTATCGCGCAGCTCTAGTGCCAGTGGTCATGTCACATTGGAAAATCTTACAATTCAATTTTTATAGGTACCCTTGTATGGATGCAGTGATTCATAAAAATGTGTTCTTCCAACTTTTTCAAACGTTATATATTAGGGTTAATTTGTGATAGTACCTCGGAGTCAATTTGACTCAATCCAAGCCTGAATCTGTGACAACTTGAAGCAACGACTTTTCAAAGTGAAGTGGGGTAGTTAATAAATTATTTTCGAAGCAACGTTATTTTGGAAATGTTTATATTCCTCAATCCTGATAAATTACCTCAGTCTCAGTAAATCCACCTCTTTAAATCAGATTAATGTCATTTGTACACACACCACTTCCGCGGTTTTACCAAAAGTTGACCCACACTATTATATGTATAGTGGAGTGCTGTAGATAGGATATATTAAGCCCCAAATCCTTAACATTTGTGTCTCCGTTATTAAAACCATGATCAAAGCTACTTTGTCACCGTTTTCGTAAACTTTAAATTCGAAGATTTTTTCGAAACTTTCAGCAAGTGTAGCCCTTCACAGAATAAATTTATTTTTTGTGACGAATTGTAATTTTTATTTTAAGTAAGACGCAAAACAGTTTTGATTATATCAATATAAAAATGTATAATTATATTCCTCACAATATTAAGGCTTTACCTTTTAATTTATTCAAATCAAGAACTAAAGCATTTCTTATTGATGAAGCGTTTTACTCGTATGAGGAATTTTTCAGTACAGAGTTCTTTTCGTGACAATTAAGTATTGTTGTTATAATTTTGTTTGTTCTTACATTTGTAATATTTTTATTTTGCTTTTGTATTGACTTATGTATGTAGGCTGTTCTACAAAACATTAAATAAGCTTTATTATTATTATTTCATTTGAATATGACAAGAAGCTGGGGAGGAAAACGTTACCTTGAGATCTCGAATTCGTTCGACTTTTAATGCTAAAATCCAATACTTCGCCACACTTGAATAAAATTAATCACGATAATCAGGGAATCGTAACCTAATAAAAAACCTTATGGAACAACGTTTCACAAGACACATTTTTACAGCCGCTTAGTAACAAATGCAAGCTTTGAATTATTTATAAAATTTGATGTAGTAGTTAATAAGATTTCATCATGGCGACCTTTTAACACACACATTTTAGCACATGTTTCACGTTGCTCTATTTGCAAATTATACACATTGTTTAGATTCCCAAAAATTTTTTATTGGATCGAATTTATTGTAACGGCCAACTTTTACACTCGAATTGGAATTTACAATTAACGTTACCTATAGTAGTAAATAATTAGCATAATTGTATGAAATTAGGTACTTACAAAAAAATGTATAAAATTTCTTGTTATGCAGATGAACGTCCTATAAATTTTTTTGTAGCATAAATTCATTGACCTTTTGCATTTTTTCCTTCTGTTTTGCGTACAAATATGTAGTACAGTATGTTCACATTTCGCCTTTCTCCCAGACGAAAGACGGTACTGTTAGATTTATTACGCCATTCATTCTTGAATAATTACAGATACGTGAACTAGTTATTTAAACGTCGAATCCCACAGACAGTGCGGTTCTTTAAACTATCAGTTATTAGCACATAGAAATAAAAATGTTGAACTTTTGGTAAATTACTTCATTCTGAAAAAGTCTTTCTCTTGACATAATCCGTGCTTTATGGTCTATTAGAATAATTTCAATAACCAAGATTAGTATTGTTGCCAACGACTGAGTATACGAATATAAAAAATCTTTCAAGTTTCCATAATAAAATGCCCAACTCGTTAGAATTTTATTACGGTCATTAAAAGTACAATCAATACTTAATATCAAGTAAAATGCAATTAAAATTTTATTTGTGAATGTGATTTCGTACCTTATGGTAAAGAACAACTGTTTAGATAGCAAGGGTTGACAATCCTCCAGTTGAAGGCGCGATCGATCATTGAAATTAGGAACAGGCTGATCCGACAGCTGATCTCATGATCCAGACGTAGTTCGAAAGTTGCTCTTTATTGTAATGTGTTCTGAACAGATTTTTTTTTTGCAAATTTCTCATCGATCATTAGGTACATGTCATTTTCTTCTATCTTGAATCATTTTGTTTGTTCCATCTAATCTTTGAATATTTATATTCAAAGATCTAATCTAATAGTCACGTTCAGTATGGTATTTTGGTTTCTGTTCTGGTTTCGATGGTTTAAATTAATATTGGTAACTTTCATGTGATGAAGGCAGCCTATCAAAGTTTATGTGTAATGTAGTTAGTAGACCATGGAATGGACTATCCTAACAAAAGAATAGCATGATTCAATTCCGAGACCCCCAACGTTGTTTACAGCCAACCTATACTGTTTTATCAAAAACGTTATTATAAGAGTTTATCGCAAAAATGTAAAAATTAGTAAGATTACTGTCACATTTGTTTAGTACAAATAGTTCACGATATCATATCACATCAATAATTTATCAATTACTCTTTTAGCCTAGTTATATATGTACTTGCATTTAACTGGGATACATACGATTATCCGATACACAAACACGAAATTTAAACGTATGATGAAAGATCCATTGTAAAAACCAATAGATTACGTGTTTATCGCCAGGATATTGCAAGGTAAGGTATTAGCATCGGCTTATGCCATAACCTTAGCATTAAATCACAAGTTTGACATCATTTCACAATTTCGTAGAGCTTAGAAGAAAATGCTATATCAACCAATTTAATGATTGCTTGTCAAGATACGCCAAGAATCGCAATAATGGAACTAATGCATGATTACACTACACTGACTTCCTCAAATAAAATATACTATGATACAAAAGAAAATAATCTACAGAGGAAATAATTTCGTACTCTCATTCTTATGCGTTCCTTGTTATTATAATGCATTACGTAAATAACAAACAGGATGTCAATACTCCTCGCAATACTCGTATGATTGATAAATTGGTACCTCTATCCAAGATAAGATTATGCGCCGTTTCAAAAGAAATTCGTGCTGAATGCGAGCCGAGATGTGAGCATTGATTCAATCGTTACTGTTCGATTTTCACTTTTGAGTGTGTTAATTTTATTAACTTGGTCTATTGATATCTTTGCAGACGCACGAACCCCAATATTTAGTTTCAATCAGTGTTGGTAGATTTTTTTTGCAAAGACCGATATGTTCTTGAACGCTACGAATTTTCATATACATAATAGGTGTCCCGAATTCAAAGTCAATATAATAGTTATATTTAAATTATTTAAATTATATATCAAGGTAGAGAAGTATAGTATTATTGCCTGAGCACCAAGATTACATCTCGAGGCGCTTGCGCCGAGGGGTGTAAGGTGCGAAGGCAATAATAGACTTCTCTACCGTGGATATATATACTATTTTTTTCACTACTAGCACTTGAAGTCCTCTAAATTAACATATTATATTGATAAGAAAGTGAACGGTTGGACAGAATTTTTTGTTTATTAATTTAACATGTCAATCAAGTACGTGGAAGTACAAGTCAAACAGGCCGTATTTTGTTCTGTCATTGAGATATTTTTAAAGAGTAATTTCGTTCGAATTTTTTCAAAATGTGTGAAAAAATGGTTTTTTTCACTACTAGCGTCTGATGACATGATTATTAACCTTTTTTCCACTTGTAAAGTAGGCTTTCTCGGCATTTGTTCAAAGTGGTTAATAATTTTTTATTATTAACTAGTAGTCAATAATGAGAACTGTCACGCTGTCACTTTTAGAAAACACAACCCGAAATTTCGCTCAATGAACGTTTAGACAAGTTCTCTAAAACGAATAATTGCCACCATTCGCAATTTCCAGAGAAATTACATACCTAAAATTATCACATTTTGAAAAAATTCGAACGAAATTACTCTTTGAAAAATCTCAATGACAGAACAAAATACGGCCTGTTTGACTTGTACTTCTACGTACTTGATTGACATGTTAAATTAATAAACAAAAAATTCTGTCCAACCGTTCATTTTCTTATCAATATAATATGTTAATTTAGAGGACTTCAAGTGCTAGTAGTGAAAAAAATAGTATATATACCACGGTAGAGAAGTCTATTATTGCCTTCGCACCTTACACCCCTCGGCGCAAGCGCCTCGAGATGTAATCTTGGTGCTCAGGCAATAATAGTGGACTTCTCTACTTTGATATATAATGTACTATTTGCACTCTAAACCTTGACCTCTA